GTATATATCGATAATACACTCAAGCATTTAGTTCACTGGTTAGTGCATGATCTTCTATCTAAAAAGTAAAGTTCGAATCCTCATTCTCTTAATTGAAAAAAAACATCTATCGATGATCAGGAAGAGTGTAATATTTAATGTGTGTGGTAAATGATATAGTATGCTATCAGCTATGAAAAAAAACAAGGGTAAAATATGTTATATTCAAAAACTTGTGAGCATTGTATTGTATAAGGAAAAATTATTTACTTGTGTTTGAACAACATAATAGTCATAGCTTAAAAATATTTTTGATTTTGGAGAGACTGGTTGATATATATGTAATACTTTCATCTTTGGTTTATTTTCTTGTTTGATAGGGGTAGAAAAGACAATGCTTCATTGATTTGTTGGATCATGTTACTGTAAGAAAATGACAAATCATTATTAAGGTTTAGATTAATTGAAACAAATGCATCGAAGCAAAGGAAGAAAATGTAAAGAAGGTAGGGTATATATCTAAAGGTAAATTATCAAAAAAATTTTGTATATGATATTTATTGTCTCATTTAAAGTTTATCCATTATTATTTGGATTCAAAATTTTCAAACCTTGATGTGAAGTAACTATTGAAAGAACAACATATAGTTGACCATATGTGAAAACCAGTTTAGGTAAATATAAACCAATTTTATCAAGTGTTTGACATTAACTTTTGTTGATAGTCATATCATAGCATAATCTAATTGGAAATTGTTTTCTATAAAATGTAAAAAGCCATTTTTGATGTTTTATTACTAATACCATTCTAGGAATGTAGTATTTATTGTTGGCGCGTATATTAGATTAAATTTTGCCTTGTATAATGTTTGAAGCCAATTGTGTAATGACCAACCTAGTGCCATTGCATAATCTAGAATTTTGGTTTATATTTCTCAATATCATAATCACACAACCTACTTTAAGATTGAGAATATGATCATGTATACTAGGAAACTTAATTGAGTTTAAAAATTCTGTTGGGTAAAGTAATTTAAGTTTCAACATTTGATCTGTTGAATGAGAAATTTTATCACTGCTATAGTATGTCTTTGTTTCTCCTGGCACCAAGCTCAGCGCATATGCATTTATTAAATCAATTGTTTCATTGTAAGAGGTAATTACAGCTATTTTTTTTCAAATATGTAGTATTGGCATAATACTTCTCAAAATCATCATAAATTGCTATCACAATATTTTTCATTGGATCATCTGTGTATGAAACTAATCAATCGTTAGGTAGTTTAACCAAATATGAATCATCTTTGTTTCTATGTATAGTTGTTTCTAAATTTCCGTCACTTATATTTAATAACAATTGTCCAAATGCCTCAATTTCATTCCTTGATTGTTCATCTAGATCATCTCGTTGTAATCTCATATTAGTCTTTAGACGAAAGATTTTACATTGAGTCCATAATGGCGATTGATTTATTGTAGAATTAATGATATCTGTTTTTATGCCACCTTGAACAATTGGTAAATTTTGTCTAAGGTCTCCTCCCAACAATACTATTTTTCCTCCAAAAAGTTTAAGACTAGAGTTTCAAAACAATGTCTATGAATTATAAGAGTTTCATCCCAAACTATTAATGTACATGCTTGAACCAATCTGGCAAGTTAAGTTCTTTTTATTTATTTGACAGATGGAGAATTGGTTAACAGCAAGAGGCATTTTGAACTTTGGATGAGCTATTCTACTACCTTGTAATAATAAAGATGCAATACCAGAAGAAACTATAGTAAGAACAATTTTACCTATCGATTAAATTGCAAAAATATAGGTGGTCCAAAAAAATGTTTTGCCTGTGCCTCTATGGCCATAAACGAATATCATATGTCCTTCATTATCAATTAATTGTCTGACGCATTGATAAATTTTCATTTGCCCATGATTTAATTGTGAGACTAATTGAAAATGTAATTGTCGAAGCTTAATTAAGTTATAATTCATTTATTCATGTATCAATCGATTTTCTTGTAGATATAAATTTTTGTTTGTTTCATGGGTAATTTAAAGTAAGCAAAAGAATTGAGATTTTATTGAAAATATCTTCGAGACCAATTAAGATATAATTCTTCAAATGATCTTTTGGAATTGAATATTCTAAGCATCCAAATGCACATTTCAACCTATATTCTATGTCATCAGAATATAATTTTCAACTATTTTCCCAATCTATTACTGGATCCGTTATTTCACAAAACATTATTATAATAACAAATAATTGTCTTAATTGTTCACTTGAAACCCATTCAGAAGCTTGTAACAAAGCATCATTCTATTCTTGGTCATTTCCTAGTAGTCTTAATATTTGACATGCTGCATGATTAGTTTGATATGTGATACCATCAATAGTTCTAATGTGTTCATAACTAGTAGCTCCTTTGACAACATTCAATAACATACGCATATAATATAGTTCTCCAATTGCAAGGTGTACATAATTTATTGTTTCGATACATCTTCTTTGTTGTCTTTCTTTCCATTTCATCTCTTGTTTGTACCATATAAGATGGTGCAAGCTCTTATTTGTGCTCAAGATTGGCTACGTGGACCTTCCTATGATCTTTCATGACACCGAGAATGATTTGGCAGAGCTTGAGAAAGTTGATGAAGGTAAGTATTTTATTTATATCATCATTTAATTTTTGCTGTTTCAATTGTTAATATGTTATTACTTTATTTCTTACTTTCTTGTTTATGTATTTTAGAGTTGTCAAAGATTGCAGTGGACAATGTACTTGATAATTTTTAAGGTAATCAAATAATGTACTAATGTTATCTAATGCCTATTTGAATTTATAAAATATTTAACATGTTTTAACTTATTTTTGTTTAATCTATTTGAAACTAATGAATTTTTTTTATCTTTTTCAACTTTTAAGAGTACAACTTGTATTTATCCTAAGTTGCACACAGCATCGATAGGCATTTGGGAAAGAAGTAATCTTTAAAGGTTACTTGCATTCAAGATTATTTGTTATTTTTTTTATCCATTGTTGAAGACTAGAAATGATTTGCTGTTATTTGTTGAAGACTGTTTGTTGTTGTTTTTATCTATTGTTAAATATTGTTAATGATTTATTGTTATTTGCTGCACATTTTAACATTTGAAACCAGAAAGTGTCTATTTGGCAGTAACTGATTGTATATTTTGTCACAACACTCTTGTCTATGCCAACATAAATAATTTGAGGCAAACTGTTTTAGAACTAGTAAGTGATGCTAGAAAAAAATTTGAGGACCATGATTATGCCTTTGAGGCAATTGCTGAATTATCGATGTAGTTTGTGTTGAGACTTTGGTGGCATATACTTGTCCAAGCTGCTTTTGAAGAACTCCATTTGGTCTCTAATAAGCTAGAAATGATGTGCTCTTTAAGTGATGGCAATGGCTTTGTCTCGCCAGAGTACTTAAAGGCCAAATCTCTTTTTTTTTAATTGTTTATTGTTATTAATATCATATAAATTATATGAATATTTATTTTATTTATTATAATTTTTGAGGGTCATTTTTAATATTTTGTAATGTTGATTTATTTTAAAAAAATATAATATAAATAAATATATACAAACAAAAAAAAATAAAAAATTTGTTAAGTTCGGTTTTTGAAAATTGAACCAAACTAACCAAATTAATTTGGTTTTGATTAATTCGATTAATTACATAGTTCGATTTGATTTCAGTTATTTTTAAAAAAGAGTTCAGTTAATTCAATTATTAAATATCTAATAACCGAATTAACCGAAATAACCTTTTACACACCCATACGCACATGCACCCAATATAAATCTAAAGGATTTAACTCGAATGGAGGCTATGAGTTTTTGCAAGTGACACAGCTCAATGGTATTGTAAGGGTTTCTAGGCCATAGACAAACTGTCTGAAAGAATTATTATGGTGTTCTATTTCTCGTCTCTGATTGCTTTGTGAGTCGGATGATAACACTTCCACCATCTTCGTACTGTTTTAGACGATTTAACTCGAATGGGGGCGCTCATAATCAGGGAAGATTCTTTTGAGGACAGTTGAGTCTCCAGGCCAGGGACAACTGTTAAAAAAGAATGTGATTTCGAAAAATTTACTTCACCTCCACCACTTTCTAAATGCAATTGTAAATGATTAAATTCTTTCTCCGAAAATCATAAGGACTGAACTTAAACGGTGGCTGACAATCTGGGAACCTTCTTGTAGGGGACAGCTCCATTGTCATTGTCAGAGTCTCCAGGCATGAACAAGTGTTCAAGAGGATTGTGATTCCGAAGAACTCATTGCAGTCTTCAATATCTGATGCCTGACATTCAAATTTCAAGCATTTGTCCACCCATCTACCAGATGATTCCCACTAAGAAAACATTATAGAATTTGATTAGAAACTATAGCAATGTGAGATATGTATGAGATGGCTGTAGAATTCGGTTCTTTGTTTATATTGACAAGAAATTTAGCACGATCAATGGCAAATCCTTTTATTGCTAAAGATGTGGGACAAACATGATCAAGTTAAATTAAAAACAATTGAGATTATAAAAAAATTTAACAGATTGGAGGTAATAAATTTGGAAAAATAATTAGATTGTAGGTGAAATATACAATTCACAGAATCTGATAAATAAAGAAGAATTAAAAAAATTTATTACTACTAATTATTAAGTTATTAATATTATCATATACGTATAACCAATTCTTTGTGAGTTTGGGTTTGCTCTGCATGCTATTAAGTGAGAATTCTCTTCTTGTTATAATAGATTGTTCTAGAAACTTCAATGGTTTCCTGGTAATTTAAGTTTCATTTTATCTGTTCATTATTTTTCCCAATCTCACAGATAATCCAGAATCTAACTCCAAGCTCCACGTGTCAATATCAAACCAGAAACCACCACGTGTCAGAACTATAGCCTGGAATTACAGCCTTGGGATCTTGGCCCCTTCCAATCCACTTTCTGGTTGTTATTTCAAGTTCAACTGCCGAAGTAACTGAACAAGGATTTGCTACACCAACAAAAGCAAAACCAAGAGAAAAAATGGTGGCAGCCATTGCTGTTTCTTCTCCAAAATCAACTGTTCTTCAGAGCCCGATCTCTTTAAAAGAACCCAATTCAAGTTTCCTTGGTGGGTCCTTGAAGGGTTCTTCTTTACAGTTGAAACCAAGAAGCCAGAAGAAAGATAGTGGTATCAGCTTGGTGGTTGCTTCAGCTGGTGATACAACCACTGCTGCTGGAAGTGACAGTAGTAGGACTGCGTCTGCTAACAGGTTTTACTTTAACATCACAGGCTTCCCTTTCCCTCTTGGCCCTTTTCTCAACCGGCGCACTACTAGGACTGAGGTCAGCTGGATGATATTTGACTTTTAGTGACTAGAGAATTAAGAGTTACCATTTAAATTTATTTTTTTTTGTTCTTTACTTGGATATAAGTATGTATGGCTGATCAGTTGAAAATTGTATTTGCCTATTTATGCCTACTGTTCCATTCTAATGCTCACTAGCTAAGTTTAAAATCATAGTCTGGCCTCATGATATGCAAATTCTTCAAAACATTGCAGATTTACATCACATACATTACAGTATTTTGAATACAAAATATGTTGTTCTTTAGAGTTGTTGACAATGTAAGAAGGAAGAGCATAGAGCTATTACCACAATTACAGCAAAATTTTAACTTGCTTTCCAGAAAAATATATCAGTGCTATCGGTAATTCTTCTAAGAACCAGGCATATGCATTGAAATCTTGAAATTCCTTTGTGCTCTGGTCTGAAAAGAACAAATACAAGGAATATATATGGAACAATACTTCTAGATATGATAGCACTTTCTAATGGAAACAGCAAGCACATTAGATGGTTACCTGAATTCAAAACAGCAAGAGTTTTCTACCAAAAAGCTAACAGGAAAAGGAAAATTGGTTTTCTACCAAAATGTTTTCAATTCCTTTCTTCTTGTCTTTCCACGAATCAATGTGTTCTTAAGCCAGGTTAAACATGAAAGGGTTTCTAATCTATCTTTTGAGTGCATAGAAGAGCAATATGTATGCATACTGACCTGCATATGTATATGCGCACACTTGCGTGTTCTCTGATCTGAAGCACTACACCTACAATTATGTTTCTCTTGTACTAACTCTTCATATGTCTCACATTTGTATATGTCTTCTTTAGGCTGTTAAAGGCTCTATATGGCTATTTGAACAAGAGCAAGCATTAGGCTTCAGCAGTGTCTCAACAAACATTCGGATGACAGTTATCAAACTCAAATCTGGGGGACTATGGGTCCATGCACCCATTGCCCCAACCAAAGAGTGCATCAAGGTTCAGTCTTGCTCTCTGATTCTCAACTTTAAATATGGCATTTGTTTAGTTCTATTCACAAAGCATCTGTCTTTATTGGGAAAAGGGGAGTGGTAGGGTGGGGACAGGGCAGGTTGAACCTGAGACCTTACAGGGCTTAGCCTGTCCTTTTGCAACTGGACCAACGTCTAATTGTCATTTATTAACTTCCCTATTATAAGGGTATTTGGTAAAGGTTTCCGGTCTTCCACTCTTTGTTGTTAACTGAATTTCACTTCTGAATAAATCAATTCAACTTACAACGTTCAATTTTCTAGGGACTATCCTGGTGTTTTTCTTTTACTATATATGTATCTGAATATGACAATTAAAACCAGTATTTTAAAGTCATGCCCATGTTGCTGAGTAAAGGCCTTTCAGGATTGAGCTGTTGTCAATGTAGTGGTGGACAGTGAGCATAATACGATGAAAATTAACTATGAGCCTATGATATTTCCAGTTTGTATATTACAGCATGACTAAACTGACCAATAACATCTGACCATTTTTCACTTGGAAATCTGTCCAGCTTGATTTTATCTCCTGTTTAGGCATTACATATGTAGCATTTTGAAAGTATTTGCTACAAGGATTACGGCAGCTGGACCCTAAAATGTAAACTGGGAACTGTTAATTTGTTTTACATTTTTATGGTTTATGAGAATCAGTATTGTTTGCTTCACTATTTTCCTTATATTTTTATTGCACAATTCCCTTCCCTGTCTTTGCTCCTGTTTTTATTTTTGTGATACTCTTCTGCATATTTTTCACTTTATTGAACTTGGAATTCATTCTCTAACAAGTCATCTCCTGTATTTTTCCAGCTTTTGAAGGAATTAGGAGCTCCAGTAGAATACATTGTCCTGCCAACATTTGCTTATGAGCATAAAATTTTTGTGGGTCCTTTCTCTCGAAAATTTCCAAAGGCTCAGGTGTGGGTGGCACCAAGGCAATGGAGTTGGCCCTTGAATTTACCCCTTGAATTTTTTGGTATTTTTCGAGCCAAAATTTTGGAAGATGAGGATTTGTCGACTCCATGGGCTGATGAGATTGAACAAAAAGTTCTAAGCTCGCCAGAAGTTGGTAAATAAACTTGAACTTGAGCTACTTGTAACCTCATCAAGGTGCAGCAAGCTTGAACTCATTTTCGTTTAATTGTATCAGGAATTGGACCATATGTAGAAGTGGCTTTCTGTCATAAACGTTCAAGAACCCTTCTGGTTACAGATGCTGTCATATATGTCCCAAAAAAGCCACCAGAGTGCATTAACAAAGAATACCTCTTGGCATCAGCAAAGAATGGCTTGGCAGTGAAACTTCTTAGCAAAGGAAAGAAAGTTCCTGATGAACCAGTTGTTGACAATGAAATAAACCGTCAAAAAGGTTAGCTTTCATGTCAAAATGCTATCCCAGCGTGCAAATGTCTTGATATTAGATAGCCCAATTTAGCACAATGCTGATGCAAATTAAAAGTGTTCATATAAATCAACAAGAAATTGAATAACAGTAATGCATGGCACAGGGTGGGAAAGAATGGTTCTACAGATACTGTTCCTTGGTCCATCGAATCTTCTGGAACCAAATGCTAGTTTTGCTCAGATGTCACAAAAGCTGATTGTTTCTCCTATCGTAAAGACACTAGTCTTCAGCAAAGTTCCAGAAAAGGTAAGAACCTTTTTGATGTAACTTTCTCTTGATGACTCCATCATATAAAATATTCGACTCTAGCTCCTTTATTGTACTTATCAGAGCACCCTAATCTGGCACCCCAGGAGTAATTTAGATGATTTTATAAACCGTTAAAATAACTAAACACTCCTTTGCTTTCTGCATGAACCAGAGGGGGGATGTGACTACTAGGAAGTGATACATTTCATTTTGCTAAGCATCCCCTGCATTTGTTGTGTATATTCCATCTAAGAAATTGGTTTTGGTTGGAAGTATAACTATTTTTCATGCTTCTAAAAAATTCAGGTTAGGGATTGGATTGATGGCATCGCAAGGGACTGGAAATTCAAGAGGATAATTCCTGCCCATTTTGCAGGTCCCATTAAGGCAGGCAGGGCTGAATTATTAGCTGCATTTGCATTTCTTGATGACCTTTTAGGTGAGCGTTACATTACTCGGCCCTCACTTGCTCTTCTCTTCACATCACTCATGGGGAAGGCAGCCAGTTACTTCCCACCGGATGACATGAAGACCCTATCATCCCTTGATGAATTATTAGTGTCTGTGGGAGCTGTGAAGAAAACGGTCTCTGGCCGCAAAAGATGATATGCACCATGATAAGTAAATACTGCAGCCTCCCACCTATTTAAATGCATGTATAGAAACTTAGATTTCTAGGGTATACCAGATGCCATTTCACAAGTGTTCAACTTATTTACATTTTAAAGAGAAAAGTAGAGCTTTGATCACCCCTCTTTCAGCCTTTTTACCATTGAATTGAAATTAGTGCAAAATATGAAGTCGAATATACATTATTATTTCACAGGGCGTTGCATGTGCTACGAATTCATCTATCTAACCTGGTCCTCCTGATATTCGTCATGTTTTACTTAACAATGAAGCAAAGCAATAAAAGTGGCAAGAACCCTACATGAGTTAGAGTAAGGGCCCTCCTTTCAATTACACGGAATATATCATTCAACCACCCAAAAGACACAGGGAACACTTAAGCCTTGACAAATTGGAAGATAGGGAATATCACATGGTGGAAAGATTACCTAAAACGTAGAAAAAGAACTGTCTTGGGGTCAAATTTGGAAAAAAAAAAATACAAGGCAAGCAGCAGGAAACAGGCAGGGTTGTTTTCCTTACTCTACAAAGGTTGGAACTGGCTTGCCCTTGCCTATAGAAAACTTGTCTTGGGGAACAAATTATGACCAAGAAACCAATGAAGAAGCAAGAATTCACACCAAATAGAATGAAAGTTCTTGATTTTCATTAACATCATGGACCCAACTCTTTTGTTGGGTGGTCAACCTCCTCAACTAAAGCTACCAAATTTAGACAATTAAAAAACAATTGGTGTTTTTTTTTTTTTTTTTGTGGCCCAGAACTTGTTAAGAGAGTTGATATCTTAGCAAATAATACCATTAAAGAAGATGCTAGATCACAAGCATAGAGCATTGGTGGGGAGGGAAGGAGAATCCAAGGTGAATTTTTCCTATTACTCAATTGTCTCTGTCTCTCCTTTGTATTTATCAGCCTTCCAATCTGGCCATAGCTTTTTCCAAAGCCTTTAAGGTGATATTGATGCAACTTTCACTTTTTCATTCTCCACCCTAAAAATGATTAAAGAGTTCTGCTTTTTTTGCTATAGCAGAAGAAAGGCTTTCCCAGGTGGAGGCTTTATCCTGGAAAAGCCAATTGCCCATCCTTCAAGTTTGTGAGATGCCAAGCACAAACTATTATAAAATGCCATCTGTTGTTTCCTGGGATGTGGCGGCCAACTGATCCTATCCAGCCAATGCTTAAAGAGATAGGCATACAAGTCTTGGACCAAAAAGTTGTTTATAAATTCAAACTTTATAAGTTTGTGCAAGTTTATACTAATTTAGTTAGATTATGTTGCCAACTTCCAATGATTATAATGATTAACTGAAGTTGATGTATATATATATATATATATCCATTATGATCTTCTCAACCATGAAGTACAATCATAAGAGGGCCATATCTTGCCAACAAATACATAAAATATCATCATGAAATCCCAAAGTTTACACAAACACCATTTCCATGTGGTGGCACTGCATCTATTTTTTTTTCCCTGATTTTCTTGGTAGCTTAAATGCTATGCAACATTTCAATGACAATAATATCATTTTAATGTGACCTGTAGTGCTTTATAAATGATTCAAAATATGGGGAAGAAGGAAAAAAAAAAAACAAAGGACAAAAATGTGTTTGCAAAGTATTTTGTCTTTTGATAACCACCAACATTCTTATTAAAAAAAATATATAACATGCATTCAATACATGACAATTGTAGAAATGATATCTTAATTTATAAGAAATTCTATCGAGCTACTCGTGATCATATATTAATTGATTTTTCGAATGTCTATAATTGATAATATATATTTATCAGAATTTCACATCTATGATTATGAATGAAATATTTTCACAAAAAATAAAAACAAATATATTTCATTTGTACAAGTCAAAATGAAGGCACACCCTCCTATTGATTGAAGGAACTTAATTGTGGTCGATTTCATATACAAAAGATGGGATGTGTAGGCATTGAAGTTATCCCCTCAAACCGACCCAACATAATAAAATAAAATAAACATGATCTTTAGATTTGTATTCATTATGATTAAGAAATGACTTTTGAAGATGCCCCAGGATCAGATCTGTTGATTAAGTCACAATATATTAAACCCACCAAAAGAGAAGAAAAGAAACAATATCTTAAGGACATATATTGTGCAAAATCTGTTGTCATGGGTACAATATATTATCATAATCTGATGTTAAGCAAAATTTATTTATAATATGGTAATATTTTCTATTATTTTTGGTTTTTTTTATTCCATTGAGATTATATATTCATAGTTCTCTGGATGTGATTTTTGAGTGTTGTGAATTTAATTTAATCAATATAGAAACTTCCAAGATAATATGACAAGAGAAATTATACACCATTGCCATTTTCCCAAAAAATAATATTGTTCATCTTAGTCAAAAGTTCAAGAAAATGACCCTATAGAATTAATATTTTACAATTAGATTAAAAAAGCATAAGACAATGTTCCAGTAATTTCTTTCATTGGAGGGTTGTTTCCTTGATTAGGACTATCCTACTCAACTAACATGTTAGAAAATGTTAGGGTGACCTCACCTCCCCAGCCACCAATTACTATTCCTCTCTTTGACATATTCTGCTCCTGTCTAATTATTCTTTTATATATATATATACATACACAGTGGGATTGTGTATAGGCTGATGTGATTCCTAACTCTAATATACAAACATTTGATGTTTAGAAATTTTATTTAAATTTAAATTCTTGTACTCAGACCTTATATATGGTATGTCCTTTCCTGGATGGTTCATTCACCATCTCATTACTGTTCCCCAAGTCTTTTTGGGACAATTAGCCAAGTTAATACAATACTTATGGATTGGATTAATTACAACCAATTAAATCATAATATAAGGCATGAATTATGTTTTATTGCCATTGCTTTTCACATTGGAATGACACCAAAGCAATAATTAACTACTCTTCCAAATAGAAATCTCTCTTTTAATAAATAATCAAAAACCATACCCCCTAATGTAACTCTCCAAAGATAATCAACCCAATGGATTACTCATTGAACAAAAAATTAACAAACATAAAAAATTTAATGTCCATCTACTGTCATAAAATCATAATTCATAGCCATCAAAGCATTTTCATTCAATTAACTGAATATAATTATTAATAATTTAATTAACATATTTAAATACATAGTTAAATTTCTAATGATAACGACCAGTGTAAAGGGCATTAATCCATAAACTAAGATGAAAATATTAATTAATTAATTAAAATGGAAAATATTTTTTAAAATTTCAATTTAATTACGTCATATATCGTTGTGAATAATTGAATTGAACCCATTTCATATGTTATAAAACTCGACCTAAATAACATAAATTAATTAAACTTTATAATATGTGTATATATAAATTGTTCATTTCATTTCGGTTTTGTTTAGTGGGGTCACTCTCTTTTTCCCCTCCCTGTCTATTCTAGAGAAAAATGCAAACCAAAGGCGCAAGGCAAAGCCAAACATCAAAAAAGGAAAAAAACAAAAACCCCCAAGAGTTGCTTGCACGATTTTCAAGCCAAGAGGCAACCTTTTTGTGAGCTTCCATACTCGTCCGTAGCAAAGCCAGACCCTTCTTTCATTTGTTTTTCAGTTGCCTTTTCCTTAGCTTTCTGGTTAAGCACAGAGTTAATTCTTAGCCATATTATAAAGGAGGTATTACTTCTCCTTCCTTATCAGCCGTTTCTTATCCTTTGTGTTTTCCTTGGCCGTTTTCTTTTCTGTTTTTCTGTTTTGGAGAGTAAATGCTACATGGGTTTTCGTTTTTGGATTGTTTGGAGCAATGTGTTTCTTCCAAAATGTGATTTTTGAGATGGGTTTGGGAGCAAACCTCGGTTTTCTCTTCTTCTTTTTCTTTGGGTAGGTTTCCTATTTTCTTTGTTTCGAAGATTGATTTTTCTTTGATTTTATCTTCAAAGATGGTTCTTTTCCTTTTTTGTATTCCTGATATGGTTGCTTAATTTTCAAGCTTGCTTTGAATTTTTCTTTTTAATCATTTTTTTGTTTATTTATGAATATAATGAGATATTGGTGAAAGCTTGATTTTGTGTTTATTTGGTATGATTTTAGGTGAGACATAGTCTTCATTGATGGGTGATTTATCAATTTCTAATATTGGTAGATTAGAGAATTTTTCAACCTCTTCTTTTATTGCTTAGCCCAACTTGCGTGTTGTTATCTTCAATGCATTATGTATAACCACTTTTTAATACATGAAAAGAAGAAGAAGAAGGACGAGTTTAGGTTTTTCCTTTGTATTTGTTCATATAGTTATCAACTATTCAACTGTTTGATTGAACAGTGAAACTTGTGGTACTGTATATTTGCTGCTTGGTTTTTCAGAAATTTGCCATTCTGATAGGTGCCTATGTATATTAAACAAAAGAAATTTCAGAGAACATAGTTGTCTGTTTGTTGTGAAGCCTGACGGAGGCCTCAATTGATGCAGTGAAGTCAAAGCTGGAGATGCCAAATGATTTATTGTGGCATTTCCAAAACGAGAATGTATGGTGAAGTCAAGCTCTTTTGTTGTTTAGATGTGAAGTGGTTGTATTTATCTCTTTCTTCTATATGTCTTTGTTCTTATCTGCTTTCTAGTTTATGCTAGTTGCTGTAAAACTGTCTTTATACTTTGTTCCTGTTAGTTCTCTCTTGAAGTTAATGATATTTAATTTATTTTTTAAATTAAATCAATCATAAGAACTAATTTCTAGTGATGTTTAAATCTTTCTGTCTTGTTCTCCAGGTTGATGATTTTTGATATAGTAGCCCAAATAATATCCAGTATAATACCAGAATAGAGCTAGGTGAGTGCTCTTGTATGCTTTATTCATCTAGCAGTCCTTTTCTGTTAGTATTTCGTGACCACCTGTAACATCGTTTTGGTTGATTTCCAGGATTGTCTGTTCTAAACTTGTATTCTCTTCTCCTACATATTTGATGGCTGAGGAGAGTATCAGTTCACCAGTGACACCAGATATTACCAAGCCAGTTGGGGGTAATTCAAGAAGAAACTCCTTGGGAGGAACAAGTTCTGCAAGCGGTGGAGAAAAAACTCTTCCTTGTTATCTGAGGCCTTCTACTGGTT